CCAATGGGGTTCTGGTAACAATACGCTACGCTCAGTTTGGAGGAGTTGCGTAAAATATCGTCCTAATTTTTAATCTATGATTCAACTATTAATAGAATACTCTAATGTCATATTTTTGGCTTATTACTTTCCCGGAGGATAAATCATCTCTGAATAATGAAACAACCTAATTTATGAGTATTAACTCGATTGTGATTAAGTGATCCCACTGGCAGTAACTATGACCGATCCCTTTCTGAAAAAGTGTAATAGGTAGTATGTTTTTGTCAATATGAGATAAAGATAAAAACCTCTGTTACAGAAATGTATACATCTACTTATATTTTAACCAATCGAATGACATATCCGTGAAAACAAGACGACTGCGATGGACAACAATTCGTTTTAACAATGCAGCGGAACGTTGCGCGCCATTCAAAAAAGAGGTCAGATAGCAAGTTGAGTACATTTGATTAAAAATTATTTTGAGAAATTGAAATAAGCATCGAACTCCGCAATCATCGTACACATGAGATATTAAGAAAGTAACACCTAAACCCACAACATGCGATGAACCCAATGTCACTACAAAACTTCTGAAACTCTTTGCCTCCCTTCATTTAAAAATCTAAATTCTTGTGTATACACCAATCTTCCAAATTCTTTGTAAAGACGTTAATAGCCTAAGATGCTGAATGTCTTTAATTGAATTGACCAACTATAACTAACTAAACTACCGTCTCACCTACATGCATGAATATATGAGAGTATTTACAAAAGAAGGTAGTTTCCTCCTATGTGCTTAGAAGAAGAGGTGGAAGAAGAAAATTCCACATAGGTTTTCTCAATTTTCTGGGAAGATAGTTTCCCATTAGAAGAGGGCAGTCAGCAGTTTAGCATAGCTCAATCAAGACTCCTCTCGTTACCATCACGCCCGCCAAAACTTGTGCTAAACGTTGACAGCAAAGCAAAACTTTGTTTTCTTACATGTTTTGCCGGGCGTAATTGAATCAGTGAGAACGAAAACACCCCAACTCGATAACTCGAAAATGTTACATTTTCATTGAAGACAGTCAAATTTTATAAAAGTAATTGAAGTTAGCGCATCTGTTCCATCTTGGAACTTTAAAATGCTCTGTAGTACTTGTCTTTTGGCACCAAAAATCTTTTTCTTGGACTTACATCTACTGTGCAGTTTTGTGTATGTCTTGATCATTTTCATTTTTTCGGGTCTGTGTGTTGTCGTTCTCACTGATTCAATTATTCTGTTTTACCCATTCAAAACTAAATTGCGTTGCGAACTTTAAAACATAGATGGTTCAATACACGCTGCTGAATGCTACCGAGTAAAGCTTGTTCTTCAACTTTTAGGTCGGATTGATTTTGTTCCTTGCGCGGAGTTTTAAATTTCAACGGAGGGCGGGCTAAGCACCATTTATCGTTTGCGCGCTATTCCGGGTGTGAAAATGGCTGACGAAAAAATGAACGTCTAAGACACGCTTTGATGGATACATATAGCTTTACACTTATTCGATCCGGATTACTTGCTGAGCGAGCGTTTACGCATTTGTCGAACAAGCTCCTAAATTACCTTCGATTTTTTCAGACTCGGGGGGGCGGGCGAATGCTGATGAGAAGACGTGTTTCTGGGGTGGGTTTTAAACCGGGGACGGCAGGGGGAGGAAAACCATACCGGCGCCAGCCCGATCCGTAACTTACCGTCCTGGCCGCCAGATCGCAGTCTAAAATTCCCTTTTCTACCGTGATAAATGACTGAGCACTTCCTATTAATGACCGTAATAACAGGGTCTTGGGTGGGAATTTAATTTTTGTTAAACTCTCAGCATGTGACATTTTGCGCTGTAAAAATGTTCCAGCCTGATATATAATACCATTTAACGGTCAAAATGCTAAGAAATAGAGTCTTCTACCACAAGGTGAAAGGAGTCCGTATCTATAAGATTAATAAGAGACTTGTTTCGATCAAAAATGAAAATACACCTTTTCCCGTATACCAGTCTTAGTTATTTGTTCGAAATTGTTTCTAGCGTCAAATCTTTCAAATTTTTCTGTCCGTTAAAAAGACCAATGTGAAAAGGAATTAAATAAAATTTAAAAAAATATGAGGCACATCTTATTTATAGTTAGTTAGTTAGTTAATAGTTCTGTTCTACTTGATTCGTGTGTATACATATAGTAATTTTTAACGTTAACACATCGATTTGGTCTATCTTTATCTCTCTCCCCCCTCTTCTCTCTCTCACTAGATTCTTTTAAATATAAAAGATTTGCATCATACTGGAAAAAAAAATATCTCCGGCCTAGAGAGTCGTACTTACGGGCTACATATACACATATGCATACCGACCGCGTCCCGGACTCGGAGACTTAAAGTTCCGGGCGTCGCACCCGGAGGAATCGAAGCTACTGCTCCAGCACCCGGAACTTTCGTCCACCGAGCCCGGAACGGACGGTATGTCTATGTAGCCCGTAACTTTTTTTCAGTGTATTACTTGTTTCTTTGACCAAAAATACTTATGATTTCAAATTGTCTGGCAGCCTTGTTTCCCGTTCAAGGCATAAGGGAAAGTTTTCTCGTCCCGGGCGAACTTATATTTTACGTTAAATTCTGCTCAATGTTTTAACGAGGACTTTGATCCTCCATCATACGCGCGTAGGACCCTTATTATCAATCGCCCGTTCCCGTCAGGAGCCATTCAGTGTCGGCGGGTGTAAATGCTTAATTTATACGGTTTGTTTCCGCCGTGCTAAGTGACGGGCAACGGCGAATCCGAGTTTACAACTTGCGAGTGCCGCTTTTACTTGAATGGATCCGATTCTCGTAATGGGTGCCATAAATCGGTGCGGCCATTCAGGATCACTGGGAGAGTGTTTACTTCTCGTAAATATCAGGAAATTCGGTGCGCTGACGCATTTCTCGGTTCCGCTCTCGATAGTTCCACTTTTTCCCGGCGGCGCTGTCAACGGCTCTCATTCGAAGAGTTGTGCTTCTCTCGAAGTTGGACGTCCTGATTATCATTATCCTATGCACTTCATTTCACATTAAAGTGGGTTTGAAGCACTTCTGAGGTAACGATTTGATGATCGATTTGTCAGCTGATCATTTCTGGATTTTAGGAACTGATGAATGACTCTACAGACGAATCACCGCGCCTGGATTGGAAAAAAAAACCATTGGACCTAGTGTCAGACTCTTGAAAACATTGACAAGAAAAAATACTCTTGATTCAATCAGATTTAAGCTTAAATCAAAAGGAAATCCACCCAAATTAAGATGCTTGGCTCTTGATTTAAGCTTAGATCTGATTGATCAAGAGTATTTTTTCTTGTCGATGTTTTTAAGAGTCTGGACTCTAGATCCAATGTGTGTGTGTTTTTTTTTGTTTTCCAGTGTATGCATGAATGACTATTGTATCATTGTTGTAATTCGGACCAATCAGAATCGAGTATCTAATTCTCTGATTCTAATTGAAGATAACGAGCCGAATCCCGGATTAGGTTAATGACAGCGCGCCAAATGGCCAACGCAACACAACTTATTCTACGATACAAAATATCATACAAATAATAATACAAATACACAAAAGTTTGTGCACTTTTACACTTTACTGCATCACCATCACCTCACCGCGGTTATTGTTGCTCAGTTGTTGTTTATGTCGCACAGAACACAGCCAATTTTTTGCGATATTTTCTCAGGACGTATTTCTTAAGTTATTTTAAAATATTTTTTTATAAAATGTTTTGTATAAATACAGAGAGCTCTGCAGTATTATGTAAATGGAGTTACGGAAGAAAGTCACATCTAAATTCCGGCGTTTCATAATCCCATATTTTTTTTCAATTTTGTGGGAAAGTAAATCAAATAATATCCACTCAAATCAACTATAAGTTTGCAGTCCAAAAAATGTCCTAAATTAACCTTAATACAAAAATTGCACTCGCGTCAGAACAGGAGTATATCTGTGATAATGTAACTGCAATCTGCCGTTATGCAAAAGCGCAAAAAAGTGTTTTATATGTTTTCATTTGAGACCTGAAAACACGGAGGCAGTACCATCCTAAATTTTCTTTAAACGAAGAAAAATCCTTCAACTTATAGGGTATGCAATTTCAACCTACGGGGAGCCCGATAAGTTGCCTACACTAGATTTTGAAGTAATGCCATGGAAGTTTCAGGAACATTCAATTACGATGAACAGATTCAGTAAATCAGTTTTTATCTTACCATAGTACTGGAGTATTTTTGATAGCATATACCTAAAATTAACCGCTTCCAATCAGTTCTATAGCTAAAATTTAAAAACTGACTTTTTTTAGATACTCAGAGATCAATATTGCAGTGTAATACAGATTAAATAGGCGTTTCGTTTTCTCGAGTCAGACCCAATTTAGAAGGAGGTACACGGTGTCACAAACATAATATTTTCACTAACTTTAGCTGCATCATCGTTATGCTCCCTTATATTTTGTCGTTACGTGCGAAAGTAACTCCATTCCAAGGTTGCAAAATTGACTCAAACATTTGAATTTTTCAGAATATAATAACTGCGCAATTTGTGTACAAAATTTTGCCGATTTTGATAAGGAGTCCGAAGAAAGATCTGTGAAATTTTCAGTTAGAAACCTCCATTAGTTATCTAGTAAAAATTCAATTCGCGAATGAAAATTTTGAAATTCCGTATTACAGTTACGTCCTTTCGACAGAGAGACGACAATTTATAGACGGCCCTTAAGGGCTCCTATGCCTAATGCGGTTAAATTTAAAACTGAACATATTTATGCTAAAAGTAACTATATCACACGCAAACTCTATGCACATAGTTCTTTTTAGCATAAATATGTCCACCAAAAAAAAATGCGCCAAAAATGTACCGCACCAACTACTGCCATAAGAGCGGAATTTCCTAATCGCGCATGCTGTTCTTATTTTTTTGCGTGACATAACTCAACTGAAAATTTAATTTTCCCTAACCCGTTATTCATTATCTCTGTTTCAGTGACGCTTCCCAGCCAAGCTGCACCCGGAGCGATCGTCTCGGCCGTTCTCCTTGCTCTTCTTCTAACCACAAGCACCGTCCTCAGATAGCTCAACTGCCACTAAATCTTCTTGGCGCTTATTCCCGATGTCACAGCGCGCGAATCTGATCCATGAAATGGAAAATTAGACTTATGCTAACCGAAATTTTCCTCATTTAGGGGCTGTAATCCTCATCGAGTATTTTGCAAAAGCACTCGACGGCCCAAGGCCCGAATTCATAGTCCACGGTGATTCCTCATTGGCGGATCCAGCAAGTTGGCAACATTGTTTTTCTCCATTTAAACCTATAGACCGTATTCGATAACGGTTCGATGTATCGTTTGGTTCAAAACAATAGAACATAACCTCAAACCTAACTGTAAGGATTTTAATTGGAAAAGCTGAAAATGAGAAATTTCCTGACAATTTCACTTTGCATTGGCATTTGGTACTCAAAAGAATAAAAAATCTGTTTCAAAAGATCCGTTCTCTCAGATTTCTGAATTTACTTTTGAGGCTATGTTTATGTTTTGAACCAATCGATATCGATACAATCTCACCCGTTTGATGTATCGAATACGATCTATGGAAATATATCGATTCTTGGAGGGGCCAGGTGCTCCGACAAGAATCGATTATTTAACATAGGTGTAAAGGGCGGGAATCCGTCATTGCCAAATTGTTGGATCCGCCTCTGTGATTCCTCCCATTGAGTGAACAAGCATCGATATATCGAAAAAATTTCGCTAAAATAAATCGTATTCGATACATCGAATGGGTAAGATTGTATCGATTTAGATTGATTCCAAACATAAACATAGCCTCAAAAGTCAATTTAGTGATAAGACGGGACGGATTTTTTTGTGATAGATTTTTGATTCGTATATGAGTGCTAATTGGCCAAGAGTAGTGAAATTGCTGCGATATTTCTCATTCTTAGCTTCTCTGATTAATATCCTAAAATTGTGGTTTGAATTTATGTTCTCTTGTTTTGAACCAAACGATACATCGAACTATTATCGAATACGACCCAGCTTTGCGCTCTTTGTAAAAACAGAGAAACAACAGTGTATAGAAGCGTACTTCAGCATTCTATTGGTGAAAAATCTCTGCCAAAAACCCTAAATTAAAGCCAACATGAGACTTAAGCCGGCTCCAGACTACGCGGCATTCGCCGAATATTACTCGCCGAATACCGAATATTTGGCAAGTCCCGCGTAGTCTGGATGGAACATTCGCGTCCACTTGGCTCGTGTTGACGCGAGGCGAGTCACTCGGCTCGGCATTCGCCCCAACCCGCTGAAAGTCGGTTTTTGTGACACGAGTCAAAGGGATCGCGAGTACGAAGCCGAGCGTCCATCGCGACATCGGAGCAACATCGGGGTGCCATCCAGACTACTCGTCCTCACTCGCCGAATGTTCGCTATAGTTTTGTAGGAAGGGGGCGAAGAGGTGCAGCGTTTTCCGGTGTTTTTTCTTCACTTGGCGAACATTTGTCCTATCCCATCAGATATTCGTTATTTACCAAATGACGAGCCAAGTACGACTTTCACGAGTAGTGTGGCGCTGTACACTCGTGGAAATATTCGAATCTGCCCGTCGATTCTCGAACCCCGAATATTCGTTACTCGGCTCGGCACTCGGCGAATGCCGCGTAGTCTGGAGCCGGCTTTAACGCGAATCTTCCAGTTCGATTTGACTGATGATCGGATGCAATATTTCGAGTTTGGTCTCATACGGCTTTAATGAAGCGTTTGTGGGAGAAGTTTTCACCAAAAGACTGCTGAGATATGCTTCTATGCTGCTGCTTTCTCTGTTTTTACAAAGAGCGAAGGGCTAAACTCGTATTTTAGCGAAATTTGTTCGATTTTTCGATGTTTGTTCACTTCCTTGGAGGAATCACCTCAAGCAGCTCCTTTCCCCAGGAAACTCCACATGATTTACACATATACATTAAGGGTAAGGAGGTCTGTAAATGTCACGACTCCTCAATAATTCAACCGTTAAACTTTATAAATACATCCTTGCGAGGGATTACAATGATTTGTCCCTACAAAAAATGTAAAATAAAAAATGAAAAAATTGATATATGTTATTGTAAATATTTTAGGCTGGGCTCGTACTTTCCTTAAAGTTTCTCAAGATTATGTAATTGTTATTTTTTTTTCTTTTGTTACTGATGACAGATGCTTGGCATGTCCATTGATGAGCTAATTGGAAACGTCCGTCGATGAGATCCTCGGATGGTCATGGTGATGTCATTGGAAAATCCCATTGATGACGTCATCATGACTTTTCTGATGAAGTTTTCTGATTGCCTACTTCATCGACCAATTAGTGAATAGCGACGATCACGCAAAAATTCGCTCAGCTTTTTCTAATATAGTGAGAAAGATAAGATGTTTCACATTTTTTGAGTGTCAAAATCGTTGTAAATCTTTGCGAGAATCTGCTTCCAAAATCATTCTCTTTGATACCACTTGAGGTTTATAAAAATGCCTCCTCCAATGATGCTACTTTAAAAACCTCCTTGGTGGCAATGTGAACCATATAGGGCCTTATTAAGGAAAGAATCTGTTGAAAAACGACTATGAATACTGCACTGTTATATACTGATTGTTTTTATAGTGAGGTTACACTGTTTCTAAAAACTCAATGTGGGAGGGTTTCTTTCACTAAATACAGACTTAATATCTACCAGAAAAGTAAATGGAGCCAGGTATCCACAATGCTAATTGCGAGAACTATTTTTTTTTTCTTTACATGTCACTAAAATCGCTGAAAGACAAAATCAATCAATGTTATCTACCATGTTATTGTGTGCGACTCCTTACATCACTGATCGGTCTGTTTGCTTTTGTAGTTCGCAACGAGAAAGCAACGGCATCACAATATTGCTGATGAAGAGAGTGTGTTGATGTTAAAACTTAAAAAACATTAATCATGGACGCTATTGATACAAAATGATTCCTAAAACAAAGCATCCTGAAACCTATTGCCTTATTACCTACTGCCTAATTTTCCTACGCACATTTTTGCACATAAAAGACAAATCACCGCCATTTTCCAAATAAGACATCAGTTAGTTCATATGAAATATACAAACCCTCGAGGAATTAATGTACCGCATTAAAAGTTAAAATATGTTTCTTTAGTTTTACCATTGATACGCTTTGAGTTGAGCAGCAGAACGGATGTGCGGCCTATTTTGTCAGGAATTCACGCAGTATCCATTCGATGAAAATCTGTAAATTGAATACCCTACGAGCTCTGAACGGTATTTGAATTTGTTGAGGAGAAGGCTTCAAAAGAATAACCCAAATAAAGATGTTCTATTTTTTAGTAAGTACTTTTTGGATATACTACGACGAGGAGCTTAAGGTATGAAGATATTGCAAATGTTCAGACATCTTGTGACATTTGTTTTAAATATGTTTTGTCCTTGTTGTATAAAGGGCAAGATGATGTTATCAGTTTTTGACGTTATGAAAATCAGGTCATATATTAACATTTTAGATGAGCCTGTTGAAATAATTCATATTCCCCCTCCCCTTTTTTTAAAGTTCCTTGATCATACCTCAAATCACTTTATGAAGCAAGTGAAAGTGGTTAACATATGTCAAATGAAATATTTTGAATAAAGAGTTCTTTCTCGTGTTCTCACGAATCCAAAACTTTTCGTCAAACTTTCACACTCAAAAATTACGGCTGAAATCAAGATAAAACGAATTGTCAGTGAAAATGAGGATATTATATCGATTGTACCTATGAGGCACATTCTTGAAAATAATTTTGTTATTTCAGGCACACAATGTGCTGTGTGCCATGATCGAGTTCAATAGCAACGGGTCTAGTCATGTGCATCATAGCAGCTTTGATAATGTTTGATATTATGTTTATCAAATCAACTCAGAGTTTAAGAAAATACAAATAAATTAACCAGTTTTACGTACAGAAAAATAAATGACGATCCGGGAATATCAATTCCCTCTCTCGGAATTTTGAAATTGAATTAAAAGTATGTTAATTTCTTATTCAAGAAGTTCACTCCATTGATAAAACTACAAAAAGAACAATGTTTTATTTAAAAATTAAAACTCTGTTTACAAAGCGTCATAACTGCTGATTGACAATGTTTTCAAGAAGTAACTAACACTTTTTATCCAAATCCATGGCATTATATACATGCCACAGGCTGAAGTCCAAATACCTTTTCTTTTCAGTTTCAAACTGTGTATTTTTCTCAATTGAATCATAGTATTTTTTTGTAAATATATCTTCAGTGGATGTTATAAATTTTGATGTTACCCTATAAAACTAATCGAGTTTTTGTTGGATAATGGAGTGCATACGTGAGGAGTATTGACTTACCATGTAATTTTGTAATGAAGAAAGTCAATGCACGCAAAAATGAGTCTCTTTAGTATGAGTTGATAATTATTAAATGTTTTCTTTTGATAAGAAAAATCGCTGAAATTGGAGCTAAAATTACGTTGTACATTCGTTTCATATAGAAATTAAACTTCGGATATCTTTTAAAAGCTTACTTTTTCTCCCCTCCTCCCTTCATTTGTTTCAATTTTATTGCATTTAATTGTTTTTTTTTTTTATTTTTTTAAATTTTTCCAACGATTGAGTAAAATATTTGTTGAGAAAGGGAAGGCGAAAATTCCATTAAAAATTCTAACTCCGTTTCATATTTTTGTGATCGTAAAGTACACACCAATCTACTGCCGAAAAGCAGGGAAATAATTATGAGAAAGTATGCCGAAATATACACTATAGACGCATGGACATGCTTGGAGACAAGCGAGTGGCAATCTCAAAAATATGCTTCTTCTGATTGAGATGAGAGCTACACATCAAATTTAATTAAAATCTACCCGTGGAAGGAATTTTTTTTTTTTTTCCTGCACAAACTCCTTGGTAAAAATTCTATTCAAAAGCCTTATCCGCAGCCTCAAACGAAATCAAAGCTTTGAAATCAGACCCTCAAATTAAAGAAAAAATGAGGTTCTCCTCTCCACATATGCACACTACATCGGTTCATGAATTCAGACTATTATGAAATTCATTCTTAGGAAAAATTTTACAAATTCCTCTGACCTGAATCAATTAGAGGGACTGGATTTCTGTTTGATCGTAATTATTCTGCACTGGTGCGCTTTCAGCTTTTCAAAGAGGCGTTATAGATTTCAGATACTGACCCCGGCTTTGAGGAGAAATTCACCCTTCCTAGAACTGTAACGCGTTTCCGATATTTCATCTTTGGGGGTACAAACTCTCGGCTGGCTGAAGGGACGTGACTCAGAAAATCCCACTTATAAGGAGATCTAAATTTCCAATGCTAA